TCAGTTAAGAATCTTCTAATGGTTTTGATGTTGCGTATATGGTAAGATACTGCTCTACTGATGTTCTTAATGTGCCTATCCATTGTCATTGAGGAATCAAATATCACCCCAATATTACGAACCTCATTGGATGGAATGACTGAGGTGTTTCCAATGTTGATGTTTTGAATGATAGGCACATTTCTAAGATACTTCGGGTAAATAAACAGTATCTCCGTTTTATCAGGATTGAAAGAGAGCATATTTTTCGCTAACCAGACTTGGACATCTCTGATGCAAGCTTCAATAGCTTAGCCTCGTCATGTCTTCCTGCGCTTGGTTTGAAACTAATATAAAGCTGTGTGTCATCAGCGTTGGCATGATATTCAAGACAATGTTGTTGAATTATGTTACCTAAAAGAGAAATATATATAAGGAACAGAATGGGACCAAGAATGGAACCTTGGGGGATTCCGCATGTAGGGTCAATATATCCCGAGGTAGTGTTCCTTATGTGAACCAATTGTTTCCTTGATCTCAGATATTCTGTATTATACGCTAAGGCCCCTATTAGATATCTTCTGAATTTCTCAGTATTTCTTTTTTTTAATTATTATTTTTCCTCTTCTAATGCTGTGATGATTTGAAATTAACATACCATTCACGTCGTTGCTCTTCTTCATATTCTGTGTTCTTTTTCAATCTCTCAGTGCTCGGTGTTCATTTTTGACTTTTTTTTATGTACTGTATCTAAGTGTGAAGCTCTAGGTCTACAATTATGCTACAAACTCTAAAGACAACTTAAAGAACTCAACAGTGTGCCGTAAGTTATCGCGCAGCCGATTTGATTACAGTCCCTCTTTGATTAATACTTAGACAATGCAAAAAGTTTATTTTGTCTATATATTTTTGTCTTTAGTTTAGGTAGGTGGCATTTCTTACAGAAAGAGTTTAAATTCACCAGACCACCAGGCACTTCTATCACTTTATATTGACGAACGGTGCGAAGAGGTCTGGATCCGCGTCTGGTCCTAGGTGCCCTGAAATTGCACTCTCATACCTTACAACAATACAATACAACAATTATTTTGCTTAATACAATTGAAGGGGGTGCGACCGCACCCTCTGCACCCCTCGACATCCCCCCA